CATGCGCGGTTTTTCATGGGGGGGGGGGGCCTTCTAACTACTCATGCTTATGCAGCAGGTTCTTGGTCAGAAAGCGTAACGGTCGTACATACAAACAAGCAGAATAATAGTATATATACTAGATTTTATTATAACAGTAAAAATATTAATTATTACTATTTACGTGTCCCTCCCCCTGGTGAATCAGCGATAAGTTTATAGACTTACAATGCTAAAATCGATTTCCCGCGGTGCATAGAAAGTAGATAGCAGATTGCGTTAAAACAATAATTATTTATGTTGCTCTTATTTATTTTTGAATACTGAATGAGTCTAAAGTATGCAAAAACGAAAGTATGGTTAACTTTTTGGCCTAAATCAACTTAGCCTTACAATGGCTGGAATTAGTCTGGAGTTACTACCTTTGAACAACAGAGATATAGAACGCTTTGCGCTTCTATATAAAATTATAAAAGTACACCCGAATGAATATATAGTTCGGAGGCTACCGTAAACACATTTTGAAAACTTTTGATTAAAAAAAGCAACAACTCGTCAATTTGGAAAACAAAAGTTGTGTAGGGTGTTGCTTTACTAAGTTCGCAGTTTGGCTCTAGACCGAGTTAAGAAGAATCGTAGAATTAAATATCGTTGTACATATGTAGAAAACATGACAATGTCTTTATCAGAATGTCTACTGAAAAAAAGCAAAAAATAAAAAAAAACCCGCTTTAAAATAGAGGGACTTAGTTATGTTCTGACAAGGCTTTAGGGAACAAATACAGGAAATATAAGACCATTTTCTGAAATAGAGGAGAGGTAACAACTCTACTTTACAGTTAGTTTCCTGGTTTTGTTCTAACGACTGATAGTCGTCCCTAGTTTAGCAGTGAATAACTAGAGGGAAGGCAGTTAGTCATCACCACCCACCGCCAACTCTTGGGCTACTCTTTTACCAACGAATAGTGGGATTGATCATCACATTATTAACGCCCTCACGCCTGATCGAGCACATTTGGTGAGATGGGGATTCGAACCAGAGATCTGCAGATTGCGAGTCGAGCGCCGTAACCAACCATTATTAGATGAAATAGAAAAATTTTGTTATAAACAAAAACTTGGCGAAAAACTAGCCTAATTGGGTGCCTAGCTGAAAATAACGGAAGTGCATCGACAGGCAACATTCTTAAATTTTACAACACATGTAGACGTCCTTTCATTAAATATGCTTCCACATCATGGCCTAAATGCTTCTAAAACACATGTATTGGAATTACAAAAAAAAAAATACTAAACTACATTTTGACAAAAGCATACAGAGTACCACGTAAAACAAACATTACATTCCTACATAAATAATCTAATGTCCAGTTGTTGCCAGAAAGACTCCTGACCATCTCAATAAATATTTTTAAAAAAGATCAGGCAAAAATGATTTTCTGAGTTATCTAGACAGCTACGTCATACAGGACAAGTATAGTCCTTAGCTCCTCTCTTCTATACAGTAAATAGATCTCAATAAAAAGGCCACGTAGTGCTAGGCTAATTAAGTTTTAGATGCATATTTAGTTGTTGTTTTTTAAGGAGTATTTATTTGTACAAAATAATATTGTTTGTGTATGTCGAGACGCATAAGTAGGACTGTTTTTATGTGTACAGAATTATATGTGCAACAAAACATGTGTGAAACTTAGTGTTAATCTACGAGATAATTGTATTCAATATATGAACATGGCTGAAAAGGTTGTGAAAATTTAGTCTTATTAGGACTTTAGCGGAATACCTGTTCAACAAAACTACGCCAAAAATCACTTTTAAAAGTACAATTACCCAAAAGTCAGTCAGTGCGAGAGGAAATATAAATGAAGGAGGGGGAAGAGGTTTTCCCAAAGGTAAACATACCTATAAATAACGATATAAATTAAACGGGAAATCAAATTACTAACGTAGTAGTAAATAGCCTTCAATGTTCGTACATTCAATCTTGTTTTTCGGCTGAAAGAGCCAGACAATAGCAGTGACTGTTGATGGCTGCCTGCCTGCCAAAGGCGTCGCTAGGCACTGGCACACGGGGACAGTGCCTCGATTTTATTTGACAGTGTCTTGAATCCCCAGTTGATGTCTTGCAAAATCAGAAGAGAAAACCATGATCAATATCAAACTGAAACGCCGAAAATTCCCTCGTCAATAAGAACCTAGCGACACCTCTGTTGGCTGCTTTGTATCTGTTCATTAGTTCAATATTAGAAAGGGCTATACCTGAACCAGAGTAAGTCTCTGACCTGGCTGCTAAAGCTATGTCCGAATATGTCATTCAAGTTGAAAACTAAAATAAATTTATCAAGAGTATTATGTAGATTAAAAATTGTGTAATTTACAAGTTAGCGGCAATAATATACTGTTATATAGAATCATATACTGTTAGGCTATTTCAAATAACCAAATTAATTTTAAAACCAACCTATGTGTGTATATGGTGAATTTAATAATCTACCAGGAAAAACTTTGGTGTTTGTAAATAGGCTAAATCTAGTATATACATTTTGGCATTACCATCACCATACATGCATACTTGTAATATATGGTATCGTTTACCTAGTTATTGAGTGTTAGATATACACGACTGTTACATTTAAATTTAATAAGTGAGTCATGATTTAGATAGTTACAAAGTGCATGTATTAAATTTAGTATTTTTGAAGCAATAATTTATCGCAGGTTTGTTTACGTAACTGTGTACAAATCATAGGTTGTGTAGTTTACTAGTAGGTGATTGTTAAATTCTTGCATCATGTTACTAGAACCTTCTATATTTTTCTGGTTGTTTCATTGAGTATTGTTACATTATAACGTCTCTAGGCCTTAATCGGGCAATATATATATATATATTGTTACGTCTCCCTTCGTTAGTTAATTTTCCGTAAATTCAATCCGACGAAACTTTAGCGACACAAGTCCTTTCTTAAATAAAACTGGTTTATTCTTTCTGAATATAACTTTGCGATACATGTAATTT